GGCAGCGCCCAGCGCTTTATGAAAGGGGAGTTGGGAATCTAGCGCAGCACCGCTGTTAAATTTTTATATGCTGTTTTATAAGCATATAAGGTTTATGAAGGGCCTTTAGGTTTCCCCCAACAAAACTTTGTTATAAAAGGAGGGATCACGTGGCGAGTGCTGAAATTGGCCGTGAAATACCCACCGGCCAAAGCACGCTTGGAAAAAAAAATACAACTCCCCTTTTTCCTTTTTTCCCTTCTCAGCTCCCAAACCCAACAGCATGATCCCGCTCGAGGCCAGCTCCAGGCTGGGGAGCCGGAGGTGGGCGCCTGTAAATTCCCCCTACAAGGGCTTCAGGAGCCTTTGATAGCGAGGTAATCCGGAGATTTTTATAAAAGCCATGTGTTGCAGCGGGGACTCCAGTCCCGGCTGGGATTCAAAGGCATGGCTGTTTAACGATGGCGCTAGGAGCGCATTTAATAGATAAAGTAGCCCGCTTAGCTTGAGCAATATATTAAAAGAAACAAATTAACCTAAAGTTGGCCTTTTTGTCCAAAGGAAGCCATTTTCCTTTGGCGCGGTGGCAATTACATGCCTCCTTCTGTTATTCACAATTGTTATTAAATCAGTCAAAAGCAATGTAATTTGTTTTTTGTTTTGGTTTTTCTTTTTTTGTCTCGTTTTGTTTTGTTTTTAAGGTGAGGGTGAACAACTGGCTCCTGCCTGAAACTTAAGGAAGCCTCTCTTCCCTCTACCCTCCCTAAAATAGCATCCCTACCCTGCTGAGGGCCTTCTGGCTGTGTGGTGGCAGTAAGTGCAGTGGGAAGGCCCGGGATAGGGGGTTTCCTCTGCCACCTCCCACCTCGAGAGAGCTGGGAGGCTGGCTCCCAAGAGCTCTTGATCAGGAGTCAGGCTGACAAAAGACCCCGCAGCCGCCCCAGATGTTAAGGAGGGCTAAATCATGGCTGCAACCGGGAAAGCCTGGGGCCAGGATGCATGCCTTTACTGCCTCAGGAACAGGCGGCCCAGGTGCTGAAGGTGAAATGTCCTCGGGCGGCTGTTTGTTTAGTCTGGCGGGGCAAGGCGCAGCCCGCAACCCCCACTTGCCTGCTTTCAAAGCAGTTTAGCCAGCGCAAACTCGCCCGTTGCCTTGGGGAGCCCTCCTTTTTGCTCAAGGGGCAGCCTGAGACCTTTCCCTGGGGGCCTATCTAGGGAGCTGGCTTTTATCTGAAGCCGGCTCCGACTGCAACTTGTCCCTGGCCAGCAATAGCAGCCTGAAGGCAAGGGCCTGGAAAGACTTTGAAGGGGCCTGGACTGGGCCTCCAGACCCTGTAGCCAGACCTTTTTCTCCCCTGGGGGTCCTGGGGTGAGTTGCAACCCCTATTCGCTGCTCACTCTTTGCTTCTCTCCCTCCTTAGGTGGCCAACGCACCCGCAAAAAGCGCTGCCCTTACACCAAGTATCAGATCCGAGAGCTGGAGCGAGAGTTCTTCTTCAGCGTCTACATTAACAAAGAGAAGCGCCTGCAACTGTCCCGCATGCTCAACCTCACCGACCGTCAAGTCAAAATCTGGTTTCAAAACAGAAGAATGAAGGAAAAAAAGATTAATAGAGACCGGTTACAGTACTACTCAGCTAATCCACTTCTCTAAGGCTCCAGCCTCCTGGAATTGGGAGAGGGGCTTCATACATGTGAAATAATATGCAGATTTTGCCCTTGACAAGGTCAAGCCACACAGTGACTTGGAAAAAAAGGGGGGGTTGATGAAGGAGAGAGGGGAGGCTTCCTTTGCAGAGATAGCCCAATAGGAAGGGGCCTGAAATTCTTGGTTCAGATCTCCATGGTTAAGCTTCCTGTTAATAATTGGATTCTAAGAGTTGTGAATCAACAGAATGAATGGCTTGGGACCCCTGGTGGTTCACTCTTAGAACCCGAAAAAGCTTTGGGCTGGGTGTGGTCACTGGGGATTGGGCCCCCTGCCAAACCCCTTAGAGGCCATCCCCTCAGGACCCTCTGCACAGATACTGCCCACCCCCAGGGCTCCCAAGTCAAGAAGTTGTATGCTCTCCAGGCCTAGTTCATCTTGGGGATGAGGGTAGGAGGAAGGGAAGGATTACTAGATGTCCAGAATGGGGTTGCTTTCCAAAGTAATGTGAAAAGGAAGTCGGACTAAAAGGTGGCTGTGACCTGGGAGAAAGAAAGCTGGGAGTCCTTAAGGAAAGAGAAATCTGTCCAGGTGACATTAATGTCTTTCCATCCCTCCTATCTACCCATTGTTCTGCACCCAGGCCTGAGCTCCTAGCAGCCACCTCCTGCAGTCCACCTGGGTTTTCTATCTCCCAAGTGTGGTGATGGATCTTCATTCAAACCCAAAGTTTGATGGCAGAGCTGACTATTCCCGAGGTAGAAGACATTGACAAGTCCAGGGGCTGTGCTAGCTGCTGGTCCCTCAATCTCTACAGGAAAGGCCCTGTGGAATGCTACAGTGTGGCAAAGTCTCGGCCATGCTGAGGAAGCTTGGATTCTGTTGGTGTCAGGCAGCAGAGTAGCAGGCCTGAACAGTGGGTCCTTGGCTTTGGCTGTGAGGGGCTGAAGTCTTCCTGCTCCCAAACCCCCCACTCTGCTCTCATTGACTCAGAACTGAGCTTGGAAGCTTCTGGCAATCTTCTAAGAGCCGGAGAGTGATTTGGAGTTATTTTAAAAGATAAATATTATATTATATATATATTTCCCCGAAGGAACCAAAGCGAATTTTAAGATGCAATGTAGAGGGGGCACGGATAATAAAAATATTTAAAGGCTCTATCTGTTTACAGTGTTCCACGGTTAAACTCGCTCACTGCTAAAAAAATATTTGAATGTATGCTTCATACAGGGATGGTGTTCAAAAGTCTTGTAAATAAAGAAAGCATAACCTAATGTGTTTCAATACTCTTCTATCTCCACCACGCCCCCGTTAGTTGATTTCTTGGAGGGTGCTGAAGAGAATGGGAAGAATGTTGGGGACAGTCTTGTTAATCTCTTACAATATTCTAACATTTGAAAAGAGTTGACCTGCCTAGAGCCAGCCTACCAAGACCTGAGAACTTCCCCTGGGGAGCCAGGCGTTCTCCAAGTGAATCTCTTCTGCCTCCCTGTGTTAAGAAATCCCTAGGGGCTCTGTCTGTGATGAGTGCCTTCGGGCCAGTTCTTATCTACCCCATATTTCCTGTATGTCTTAATATGCACACAGACAGCAGGGTACGGAAAATAAATAGGATAGAAATGTGAGTATTGGGTCCTGGTGTGACATTTGTCTCCCTGTTTGCTTTTTGCTGCCCAATATCTGCCCTTAGCTAGCATCCTTTTACCAGTCAGTAAAAGGGGCAAGTTACCAGGCCTCTGAGGGGGTGTGTGGTAGAAGTGAAATAATCAGGATTGAGCTACAATGGAGACTGAGCATAGGGAGCGGGGCTGTATGTCCTTGTGGAAGGCAGCATCTTATGGATGGGATAGGTCAAGGCCTAACATGTGAGACTTCTCCCTCCAACTGACTTCAGCCCTAAGGAAGGCCTTGGAGGCTTGTAATGGCCAGTGGTCTGACCCAGTCTAACCGCGCTCACCTCAGGACTGAGTAGAGCCCCTCTGAGTGTACCCTGTGGATCCCTTCAACAACAAAGATGTGAGTCTAGGTACCAAGGCAGAGCTGAATCTTGGGAACCTCTGAGTGTGTTTCCTGTTCTGTTGCTCCCTCTCCGTTCCCTGGGGCAAAGAAAGATGCGGGCTTGCTCTTTGTTTGCTGCCTTTGAACTTCTGCCTTAAATTTGGACATCACCCATAACCTTGAGGGGCAGGGCTGAAAGGACAGAGCCTTTTGTTGCCCATCCCACCCTCTTTCCAGCCACCCAAGCAGAGCCAAAGCAGCACAGAGGGTCTCGTTTGGAGAAAGGCCTTAGGCTTCAGACTCTGCTCTGTTTATTTGTTTGTGTGTTTGTCTAACTGGCGCGACGGGAGAAAGTGAGCTGAAAAGGGAGAGGGACAGACCCCCTAGATGAATGTCTAGGTTGATAGACACACTGAGAAGAACAAGGGCCCTACTGGGGGGGGGGGGCTAAAAGGGATGGACAGGGAAGCCCAGTTTAGGAAAAGACATCCTTTGGGATGTTTAAAGATTAACCAAAGTCTCTCAAGTTGCTAGAGAGAGTCTAGCCAGGAGAACTGCTTGCAAGAGGGCGGCAGGCGGGCGCGGGTTTGATTTCTGAGCCCTATAAAAGCCCATCCTCTGATGGCTGTGACAATGTGGTCGTAAACCCGTCCTGGGCCGGCCAATTTGCATATTTGGAATGCGCCGCTATAAACCCGGCTGGGGTTTTGCAGCAATTTCTTAGATGTAAAAATGAGATCTCAATAGCAGCGGGTTGGGCACATTCTCTCGCTCTTTCTCTGCCGGGAGCCAGCTTCCTTTTCTGGGCTGCAGGCTGCAACTCCAACCTCACCTAGGCCCTCAGCCGCCACGAGATGGCGCACTTCCGATCAATGTCAAAGCCGCCAGGGAGCCGGGAACCCCAGCGAGATTCTTGGCCTTTGTTCGCTTGTGGTACTAAGAGCAGCACGGTACGTTATTTCACTTGTCCGGCTCCCCTTCGTATTCAAAAAAAGGGAGCCTCGCACTCAAGAAGTGATTGGGACTGTAATTTAAAGCAAAGCGTCTGTGCTAGGCCTCTCCACATCGCGGCGTGGAGAAGCTGCTGCTGTTTGGCAGTGATTTCAGAAATGAGTCAAGGTAAGTGGCCACAAGTTTATCAGTTTCACTGTTGTAGAGGTGGGAGTGGGGACGTAGCTGATGGCTAAGCAAATGACTGAGTTTGTGGGGTGATGCGCATTTGCCACCCCCTACACCCGCAAGCGCGCTCCCCATAGCCCTCTATGGTTGCAAAGCTGTGGGAGGCCTAAGTGGAAAAGTTGTCGGTTTTAGCTCTCTGCGCCAGCATTTCACCCAAGCTTCTCACCCCAGGCGATCTTCTTTCTATTTTGCTGAAATATTCAGACCTGAATGCGATAGGTATGGTCAGAACCCAGGCGAAAGAATCAGCTGTGCTGGGGTTAGGGCTGTTTGAAGAGAAAAGGGATGGTAGACTAAGAAAAACAAAAGTTTCTCCTTGGAAACAATGGAGCGGTCAGCATCTGTGGCGGTGGGAGCGGGTTTATTCCTCGCGGCAGCCCGCCAGAAGTTACCGGTTTTCTCGTAGGTGCAGTCTAGAAATCTGCCTAGAAAGCTAGAAATAAGCTTTGTTCCCCAAAAGGGCAGTCAAAGAAGTCGTATTTGGTTTTTGGTTTTGGTGGGCTTTTTTCTTTCTTTCTTTCTTTCTTTCTTTTCTTTTCTTTTCTTTCTTTCTTTCTTTCTTTCTTTTTTTTTTTTTTTGAGGATGTTGCAGACAGCTCCGTACTGCGTATTTCTAATGTGGCATCATAGCCCTGGCTGACATTTTCCAACAAAATATCCTAGCTATTAAAACGAGGAGGGGTTATTATATATTTTGCAAATTATACAAAAAAACCACATTGGTAAATATCATTCCATTTGTTTAAACGGCGTGGGGGATCAAGTCTGACCCAGTAGGCATTTGCTCAAGACTTTCATAAAAACAAGTTTTAAATAACGCAAATGCTTGAATTTTGAAGGCCAGATTTAAATCTCCTGTTTCTCCCATATTTAAAATTTTATTTTAATATATTTTCATTTCTTTCTCGAAATAATTTCTTTCTTTCCCCATATATACCATACCATTGATGAGTAAAAAGAAGTTCAGAACAAATACATGCTGTCCCTGTTCACATGTGTGTGAGTGAAAACCATGCTTATGAACTGCTGGTCTTGTTAAGCATGGGCTCCTAAGCCATGCCAAATAAAAGCAACCCTGAACAGAAAGGAGGGCCCACTCTGTGAACGGCAGTGGGTGGGAATGCTCCCTACACTACTGAGCTACCTCCAGCTTTAAGGCCAGAGCCATTTCCTTACCTAAAAAAACTAAGAACGCTGGCACTTCAAGATTACTGACAAAAGGCTCAGTACTTCCCCCACTAAAGGGCAAGGGCCAGCTCGATGGTTAGATTTAGACGAAAAAGAAATAGAAAAATATTTTAAGCTGAGGAGAGATTGAACCTGGTAGACAAGAAAAGAAAAAAAAACACACATTAAGCAACCCTGGAAATGTCTGTCGCTTATGAAAAAAATCTAGTTATTAATACATGTATAAATGGGAGAATTTCTGAAAGTTCATTAATGCTGGACTGCTGAAACTGCATTAATTTTTCTTCATGAAGCTGCAATCCAGCCTACAGCCCTCTGGATAATTTGGAACCCCCAAAGCGTTGAGAATGGTCTCCATATACAAACTGGTTTGTATTTCATTCTCAGGACCTAGGGGTTTGTTTGTTTGTTTGTTTTGATTGTTGTTTGTTTTGTTTTGACCTAGTGAAAAAGTCAATTTATTTTCATAATAAGAATGTGTTTGGGGGACTGGAGAGATGGCTCAGCCGTTAAAGGCTAGGCTCACAATCAAAAATATAAGAATGTATTTGGGGGCCTCACAAGGGCCTACTCAGGAAGAGGAATCAGCTATTCAGTAAAATGCAGAGTAATCCCCAAACCTTCTTGGTTCATGTGCCTGGCATTTCTTGCGGCTCCATGGAGAGATTGGGTGTTATCACTAGGTAGAAATTGTCAGTATTTACTCCCGAACAAACACAGACACTGGCAGTGGCGGCAACAATGTGATTGCTGTACATGTCTGGTTAAGGACAGCAGGCACCAAGGGTTTTAGGTCAAAGGCATCTAGAGAAGGAAAATGGAATTCAGCAGCCGAAAGGAAGGGCACAGGAGAAAAGAAAGAAAAAGGAATCACTGTACTTAATCTCTTGGGGATGGCAAGTGTCCGGAAAGCCAAGGAGCCCAATAAACAGAATATTTTTATTGAGGAGGCTAACACCTCATTGTTGTGGTCTAGGGAGAGACACTGGAGCCTTCTGGGTGGCTGAGGGATGCCTGGGCCTCCAGACCAAGAAAGCCTAGCAGGCACTCACCCCACCAACTACATTTAACTTGAATTTCTGAGTCATTGTATTTACTTTAAGACAGCCACATCAGGCCAGTCGGCCAGATACCCCCACAGTATCCCACAGTTAGGCTCTCCTCTTGTTCCTTTGCTCAGCAAGTCTGTCAGAGACTTGAAGAGTCTTTCAAGTTGTATGCCTTTCCATGAAGGCATACAACACTTACACAAGGAGAGAGAGAGACACACACAGAGAGAGAGAGAGAGAGAGAGAGAGAGAGAGAGAGAGAGAGAGAGAGAGAGGAGAGGAAGGAAGGAAGGAAGGAAGGAAGGAAGGAAGGAAGGAAGGAAGGAAGAGCTCATATTAAACACCCTATTTGGTTTCTTGCAAGAGGGAAAGTTACTGTTGAGAAGAACACATCTGTTCTCCACAGAGGCTGATGAAGAACCAAGTGCCAATGCCATGGTCTGTGAGGCTGGTAGTAAGCAATCTAATTCCTCCAACCTTTAGCAGAGATGGCCTTTATGTGCAGTACCAGAGCTGACTTTTTAACCTTGGTCAACAATTGCAGGCGTCTGGATCCCATCCAGCCTAGAAGCCCATTTGGCTGTCCTACAAGGCCTTGGCTAGGATGAGCCCAAGTGGCTTGCAGCTGGGCACCTGGCTTGTTTTGCCAGACAAATGGGCAGGGGCTGCTGAGTCCCAGGAGAGTCCTTCATGCTCTGGAGAATTTGAGGAGAAGGCTTTAGGGGTCTATGAAGTCCTTGAAAGTGAAGGGTCAAATCATGAGAATGCAGATTTGGGTTCCACATACTATAAAAGTCAGAACTAACCTTGGATTACTCAGAAGGCTCCCTGAAAATCCGGAAGGTTAAGAAAGATGCTTTATCTGTATCACTGTATTTCTCTTTATTCTTGTAGTCTCTGGTATCTCAAACACTCTCTCCAATGGCCACAGGTCCTTTAAAACCCACATTCAGGCATTCAGGGAAGCAGAGCCAGCTGAGGGCTCTAACCCTGGCCCACAAGCCTGCTGGCCTGCTGGTGCTCCTTTTCCTCACGGAGCATTTAGCGCTCTGGGAACCTACTTCTCTACATAACAGCTCTGCAGAGGGATATCTGGATCGCTAAAGAGCAAAGCGCCTTTTTTCAGGCAGCCCTGTCTATCATCAGGGCATTTCCAAGTGATATGTTGAACACAAGAGTCCCACCTATTTGGTGAACAGAGTGGGGACCAAGCACATCCTGGAAACATAAGGCAGGATCATAAGCGTCAATAATCTGAAGCTTTGCAGCATTTTGGCTCTCTGGCTCTTTAGGCAAATGAAAAAATGCCTTGGCCTTGGGTACAGAAGCAAAACAGATAGTTATTGATGTCTCACACAGACCCAGCTTTTATTTTCTGGAGTGGCTGCTTTAGATTGAAATTTTCAGCTGCAGAGAGCTGATGCTCATTTGTGTTCATATTCTCTCTCTCTCCTTTTTCTCATCTCCTTGTCCCCTTCTTCATCTCTTTCCACCTCTCTTTCTCTCTCCTTTCCTTTCTTTTGCATTCAGATGCTTAGCTATCCAGCCCTCCCAGGTAGTCACCTTGGCGAGACAGAGGTAGAAGTGGCAAGGATGGCTTGCTAGTGTTAGCAGAAGCATAGCTTCCTGGGCGCGGCTGGCTAAGCAGCTGCAAACAGTCTCAGTTGCTTGAATCTCAGAAGCCAGGAGCTGGCCTCTACCTAGCCGGGTCTCCTATGTGCTTTCGCTCTCAGGGTTGTCTTTGTCCAGTGGCTGGATTCATTCTGGGAGGAACCAGAACATGACCATCTAAATGTAAGAGTCTTTCTCTGCCATTTGCAGAGGTCTGAATAATGTAGTTCCTGGGATCTGGGCAGTCAGTAACTCTCCTGTTCCAACTGGAGCTGGCAGGCCTAGGGTATCCTGGAGACCTCTAACCTTGTGGGTTACAGGTCAGGGGCAAAGCATCAACTGCACAAGCTCCGCTGGATCCCGCTGGAAAAGGTCACATTTCCTGCGCTTAATATGAGGCACACACTTGGGGGTTAGCGTGTCCCAGGCTGACCACTTCCAACTGCTTAAGAAAGCACCCCAGAGTAGGACCCAGTATCTGCTAAGCAAAGCTCCTGGTCTCTAGAGTCTCTTATATATAATAGGGCCCAAACCTAGTTCAGCCTTCCAGGGAATGGATTGCCTCATCACCACCTTGTTAAAATGTGCACACTATACTACAAAATGGCTCGAACAAGGACTGCCTCAGCCATGTCTTTGTGGGGGTGGGCTGGGGTGAGGGTGGGGACAGCAAGACAAGAGTATAGTGACAGGTTTTTGTCATAATCTCAAGGAGCATAGGATGCTAAGGCTTAAAGTAAAGCCAGAGAGAAAGCAGTGTGGCAGAGGTATTTCTTGGGCATATTCTTCCAAGATTTCCCCTCCAGTTCTCCCAGTGCAGAAAGACCAGAGACCCAAGGCCGACATCTAGTCCCCCAAAGGAAATGAGTTTGGGTTTCCTCTGGATGACTGGAGTATGTATGCATTTGACTCTGAACCGAGGATGGTGGGAAGTCTTTTCCTAGGGTTGCCAGTCTGTTGGTTTTCACCTCACTAAGCCAGCTATGCAAGGTTGGATGACAGAAATAGAGAGCATGACCCCACGGAGCATAGTGAAGGAGAAAAGTCGTTGGGACTGAGGAGCCAGGCAGCGATCAGCCAATGCATTTCGGACGGACAGTGTTCTTTGTGCCATGTGGTACCAGCCAGCTTCCAGTTCCCTGTGGGGGGCCTGGCAGGCCTGGGGCCCCCCCCAGCCACTTTGGGAAGCCAAATTTAAGAACTAGGACCAGTTCCAGGTCCAGAAATGAATAGAACGGGGAGACTGCGACAGGGCCTGCCTAAATGATCAAGGGGCAACAGGGACTCATGGCTACTCCACGGCAGACATGGGAGCACCCGAAGATGACTGGGGTGCACATCATAAACACCCCACTTGTTAACAGCGTAGGGCCCAAGGGCGCTTCCAAATATATTCTTTGCTGGGGGGTGGGGTATTGCAGGCTCAAGAGCCAGATCCAATAACTGCCACTTTGAGGCAGCCCCCACAGTTCTGGCCTTCGGGCCATAGGTGTCAGGCCTGCGTCTTCTGGCCCATCAATACAGATTACATATTTATATCAATCGCGGGCTCCGAGGGCGCCCTCGGAGAGCGGCCCCGCGCCTACGAAACCAAACTGGGAGTGGTCGCGTGGAAACTCTGGCTCGGGATTGGCTGCGGGCGCCCGCCGCGGTGCGGGGGGATTGCTAATCGTATTCAGCATGTTTTGCACAAGAAATGTCAGCCAGAAAGGGCTATCTGCTCCCTTCGCCAAATTATCCCACAACAATGTCATGCTCGGAGAGCCCTGCCGCGAACTCTTTTTTGGTCGACTCGCTCATCAGCTCGGCCAGAGGCGAGGCTGGGGGGGGGGGGCGGTGGAG